GACAAGGTCGAACGGTCATAAACTACTACCAGACTGTTTCAGGCTGGACATAAGGAAGAATTTCTTTACTGTCCGAGCCCCCAAGGTCTGGAACAGCCTGCCATCAGAGGTGGTTCAAGCACCTACATTGAACACCTTCAAGAGCCAATTGGATGCTTATCTTGCTGGGATCCTATGACCCCAGCTGACTTCCTGCCCTTTGGGCGGGGGGCTGGACTCGATGATCTTCCAAGGTCCCTTCCAGCCCTAATGTCTATGAAATCTATGAAATATATTTTTTTTTTACCATAAAATAGCTGTAAGGTCAAGTCTCTGCTCTAGCCTGTTTTGCTGGAGGAATTTCTGGGGTCCTCAAGACACACTGTGAGCTCACACATCTTAACCAAAGGGTGCTAAGCTTTTCACAAGGATCCACCCCCCTCCTTCTCCCCTCTTTCCTCCCTCCCCCATCCCCCTTTACTAAGCATTGGAGTGACATTTTCCTCCACTAGAGAGACAACCCCCCCTTTCCCCAGCAAAGCCTTAAAAGTGAACAGAGATGCTGACACTCACTCACCTTTCCACCTGGGAGGCTCCGGAGCTTCAGTGCTTTGGTTTTCACTTCTGATTATTTCCTGGCACTCGGCCTCTTGCTCTTGGAAATGCATAATGATGGAGCATTCTGGATGGGTCCCCTGCACCTTTGAGAGGAAATGGAGGGGTTTAACTCTCTGGAGACTGAAACTTTAAATTGAGGAAAAAAGAATTCCTGTATTGCATATTTCAATGAGACACAGCTCTAAGCAGCCCTTGTCATGCAGCTACTCTTTTGCCCTGTGTTCATTTGATATTTCCTTTCCTTTATCATGTTTACCATGTGAATGCTGTTAATAAATGCTACAATTATTTATCATTCTCTCTGAGTGGATTATGCTTCAGGGGGACTTCTCTCAGACATGCAGTGCCCGACAGAGGATCTGTGCTTGAAAGATGGAATGAGCTGACCCCATTAGCTGGGCAGATGGAAGAGAATTTGAAACAAAGCAAGAGTATAATTAGAGATAGCAAACACCTATGGAGGCATGTCGAATCCATTTTCCTGTCAACCAGAGCGGGACTGTTCCTTGCCAGGGACTTCTTAGTATGCGGTCCTGTCTATTTTAGCAGATTTGAAAGGAAGACTCTTGAGATAGTGGTAGGAAGGCAAAACCTCTCACTCCAACAGAGATTGGGGAAACGGTGCTCTGCACTGCAGACATACAGGTTCATTAAAGTTTCAGGCTCTGGCAGCTAAACAAGTGCTGAATATACAGAAGAACAAGGCATTAGAGAGGGAAATCTCATGCCTTTGGATTGCAGGATTGTTTCATGAGAATCCAAAGCTGACAGATTTTTTTATAGTACATGGAGGTAATAAACCTTTAATGTTATCCTACATTTACATAGTGCCCAGTCTCCCACAGGAATTCACAAGCTAGCATCCATGCTGAAACAACATGCAGTATTAAGGCTGCAAAGTCAAGTGTTTAGAAGTTAGGAAACACCAGATTTAAACTGAGGCCCCCTACACCATTCCCCACTTCAGCCTCCTGCTTAAGCTTTATGCTACCATCTTCCATGCCACAATCACACTGGGTTTGTTTGTCTTGTTTCCCTCCATCTATCTTGGAGAGGGAGAACTGGGGCGGAGAGAGATGCAGCCTGAAAATCTGTAAAAGGCCCATGAATTTTGCATGCCTAGCCCAAGACACCTTGAGGCTGAGGTTTCAGAGGAGTTTGGTGCTCACAGCTCCTGCTGATGTCAGCAGAAATCATGATTGCTCACTGCTCAGCACTTTGAAACCAGTCACATGTGGGGCATCTGCACTTACAGCTTTGCCCTGCTGCCCAGAGATGTTATGGAGATAACGATGTTGGAAACAGCCAAGTACTCAGGTACCATCAGAATGGAGGCTGCTGATAAACCTTAGCTAGACAGGCAGCAAAGAAACCCTTGAACTCAACAGGAGCTGAAAGGACAGGTGTCTACAACCATCTAAACATCTGTTGGCAGTTTTGGAGTGTTGCACAGGTTAACAATAACCCCCAGTTCCCAGGCAGAGACTGTTGGCCACACACATGAACCATTTGCTCTGGGACACAGGTCATTCCTTAATGCTCCACTCCCTCAGGATTTATCGTTCTTTTGGGGTTTTGCATAGGAAGCATCAGACTTGCCAAGCTGGATCCAACCCAAACACCACCAGGCCCAGTATCCTACCTCTGAGTGTGCCCAGGGAGGCAGCTTATTCCCTTCCCCACTCCCCCAAAGTAGTAGATGTGAGATAGTCTGCCCTGGGAAAGCCTCAACCTTGTCCCTAAATGTCAGCCTCTGGCACCCTCTCTCAAGCACATCCCACCCACCCATTCTTGCTCACCAGACTCACTCATCCAGCAATGTTATTGGTGCCTGTGGGGGACATTTCCTTGCCTCCTCTTGCTTCAACACCACATTTCCAAGTTGGGCATGTGGGAGTGGGCGAAGATGATTGGGGCATACACAGGGGCACCACTCCTTGAAAGTAGAAAAACCCTTGTCAAAGACTAATATAAGCCCTGGAGGCATGGGGCCGTATCTCCCTTCTAGGGCTTTTCATTAGCCTGAACTTTTACAACCTGCATTTCCTGGGACCCATCAAAATAACACAGCTCTCTGACTAGCTGAGTACACTTTCCTTTAGCACTTCCCATATTACAGACAATGTTCAGCAGGGTTTCCCCAAAGATGCTGAACCGCTCAGTGTTGCAACTACCAGGAGCTGGGTGGGGTATGAGGGCAATTGAATCAAGTACCCAGACAGCGTCAGGGCAGGAGTCCTACAGCTCTGAGGTGCAGACATCCTTATCATTGTAGATTAGCTAAGGTCTGCCAAATGGAAGATGTGCTCCAGAGAACCCAATTCAGCAGGGATAACATCTTATGTCCTTCACAGAGGATGAACAGTGCAGTGGAGTCCTAATAGCAGGCTACAGCCAGAGAATAAAGACACTGACTGCAGACTGGAGGCAGACAGCAAAGTTGAATGAAGGACCCCAGGCTGAGAGGCTGAGGAAGGTCACATTGTCACAGCTGCTCTGTCCAAGACTTATTGCACCTGGCCAAAACAGTCTGAGCCAATCCTGAAAGCTCCTGCGGAAAGTACCTTGGGCTTTCCACATAAAATATAGGAGCACAGTGTGGCACTAAAATACTACTTGCATACAAACCACAAAGGAAAATGCCACAATTAAGGTTGCTATGGGCACATTGATAGAAAACATACTAGGCCACTGAACAAGGCCAGAAAAGCCCCCATGCCTGGAAAGCAAAAGAAACCAACAGGCAGCTGTGACAGCAACCCTAGCTTCCAATTCACTCACGTTTCCACCAACCAGCACCCAAGCAACCTTAGCTCTGCCCCAGCATTTGCTCTTGTATTTTAGGGACTGACACTTTTTCTTAAAGTCAATGGGCACAAAGGCAGTGCACCATTCCAGCATTTCACCTGGGGACAACCGACGGTGTGCTTATTATTTGTGACAGTGCAGTTTATCAGAGCTAACACTGGACTAGCACTCAGGAGATTGTGAATTCTAGTACTGTTTTTGCCACTAGCTTGCTGAGTATCCTTGATCGAGGCACTTCACTTCTCTCTGCCTCAGTTTTTCCATTCGTGAAACCGGGATGATACTGATCTGTATAAAGCACTTTGAGGGCTGGTGCTACTTCAGTGTCTAGCGGTGATGTTGCCAATATTCTTGCCATAGGCCAGACCTATGCGGTGCCAGGTGCTACATGAACACTGAACCAAAAGACAGCTCCTGGACACAAGAGCTTCCAGTCTGGTGTTTTTTCTGTAGTGTCAAGTTCCCTGACTCAATATGAAAAACACAGGTCCTAATTTAATGTAAAAGACATCATTTTAAAATCTGGTGCAAGAGGTGTTTAGTCAATGATAATTATACTTGTCTAACGAGTGATGCATGAAATTAATTTACTCGGTAAGAAAAGGCAGCCATTCAAGTGTGTTGGTGTGGCCCAGTGATTAGCACTGTGAGGAGCCCTAATGGACTCCCTTCGTGGGTTAGGGAAACAATACTGTCTCCCAAACCCAGAAATTACTTGATTGCATCTCTCACTCAGGTGAGCTACGCATTGGATGTTGCAGAGCCTTCCAGCCCCCTTCCTGCTTGTTCCCCAGACCTGCACCAACACTTCTTTGTGCACTAAGCCAGCAAACAGTGCCATCCTGCAGCTATAAACAGGTGTTGTATTTTCTCTTGGGACCAAGTGTGGTCATTCAGACATCCATGTCTGTTGTCTCAAGACAAATCCTAAAAAAGGTTCACGAGATAGGAACAGCTAACAGTTCATCCTGGGACATCACAAAGTGCATCTGAATGGTTATCCAGGGATTGCATCATTGAATCAATGGCAGAAAAGTGGCAGTGCATTCAGCCACTAAACCCCCACTGGAAAGGTAATGTGCATACGTGCCAATCCTGAGACTTTTCTGTTCATGGACAAACATACGCACAGTTTGTCTTGGGACAAATGCAATAGTTGTTCCTAGTCTTCTGTGCACTAGGGGCTGAGGGTTCAAATCATATCTAAGCTCTTTCAGGGGAATTAGTTATGGGTAGGTGATATTTCAGTAGCCCTGCATGGTGAAAATGCCTAATCCTTTGTGCATGGCTGTATGGCAGCCTGCACTTTTGCCTGGATAGGAATTTGCTGCTTTCCCTCCACAGTTCTGAGGGAAAGCTCTGGGAAGAAGCGCAAAGGGGTTAGTTACAGGGCACAGGCAGAGGCGGGAGAGACAAATTGAGGCAGTAAACAGCAGATTGTGGCGCTGATGCCATCATGAAGACTTTGGCTTCTATGACCACAGTCCTCACTTCGAAGAGAGAAGCAGTGGTCTGTTGGGAAGAGA